CACCACTCCTAATGTCCTGGTGAGGGCGACTCTCCAGGACCACCACCCCTAACTGTCCTGGTGAGGGTGAGTCTCCAGGACCACCACCCCTAACTGTCCTGGTGAGGGTGACTCTCTAGGACCACCACCCCTAATGTCCTGGTGAGGGTGACTCTCTAGAACCACTACCCCTAATGTCCTGGTAAGGGTGACTCTCTAGGACCACCACCCCTAATTGTCCTGGTGGGGCTGAATCCTCAGGACCACCGCCCCAGCTGACCTTGTGGGGGTGACTCCCAGGACCACTGTCCCTGCCTGTTCTCGTGGGGGTGACCCTATCCACCACTAGCCACCTGACTCAGCTACTATGTCACCAAGGGGAGAAGGGCTTGGCTGTCAGAGAAAAGACAAGAATACTGGGGTTACAGAGGCAGGGTAGAAAGAACCAGGGCCTTCATTTTTACATGAAGGGACATATTCATCTCTAATGACCCTTAGGACTTAGGATGGAATTGTCCCTTTCCTTACGCAGTGCATCCTGGCCATGCCAGTAGTGATTCTGTCTGAAGGCAACAATAATGATCATGCTAACCTTTGGGAAGACACTGACTAACTGCAATTATCCACTCAACAGGCTACAAGGGGGTGAGTTTAATATTCAGCTTCATTGCTGCTGAGCCCACATTCTAGTCTCTCACTCTAGGGGGCGCCCAAGGACTCTCCCTGGTGTCATTCCGCCATGGAGGAAGTCCCCTCCCCCTCAGGAGTCAGATCAAAGTGGAGCCCTGAAGGAAAGACAACAGGGCTGCTCTGGGGTGGTGGTCTGTCTGTCTGTCTGTCTGTCTGTCTGTGTCATCTCACTGAGAATAACAGGTTCTGGGGAGTTTGGGAGATGGAGAAACTAGCAGGAGCCTCAGTGGGGCCCTGGAAATATGGCCCACCCTTCCTGTGACCCGGTCCCAGATACAAACTGTCCACTTCTGGGCTTAGTCAGTTAGTAGATGAGTTTGGTCTAGACCACACTGCCATTGAGTTTTTGTTTTGTTCTGTTTAGTTTGAACATAAACTAGTTGCCAAAACTTGTTTGCACACAAAGCTAGACTTATGAAATCTTAAAATGTCAGCCCGGTGATGCTGGACCTACATTCCCACATTCATAGTCAGGGGATGCGGACCCTCCTGACTTAGTTGTATACACACTCACCCCATCATGATATAAAGTGTACTTTTTTTTATTGTTTGCCACAGGTTGAAAAATCACAAAAATGAACTAAAACCCAAAAGCAAAAGCACAGGGGTCTGCAATAATCCAGAGGATTTGGGGCTGAGGTCCTGCCAACACAGACTGTGAGTAAAGGCTAACTTTTGTCTTCCTTCAAGACACACGTCTTTCCTAAATTACAAAGGCCCTGAAGTGGTGATAAGCCTTGTGACCTGGCCCTAGCTCCAGGGCAGGTGGTCCTGGAGCTGTGGTAAGCCCAGTTGAGCACTGTGCCTCTGTGCTCAGGGTAGTTACCAGCTTCTGAGAATCCAACAATGATCTTAATAATGCTGTGGATGACCAGCTTCTGAGAATCCAACAATGATCTTAATAATGCTGTGGACGACGGCCACTTCCCTCAGAGAGAATGCTTGCTGCTCCTCACAGATGGGGACACTGAGCACTACACTTGGAGGCATCTCCCAAACCACAGTGCAAGTTAGTGTTGAGACTGAAACTAGAATCCGAATCAGTTTTCCAAAAACACTGGCCCATGTCTTCCCTAAAGTAGGTACAGACTGATTTCCCAATGATCGTAGGGCGCCCAGACATGTGCCCGGGTGTCCCAAGCAGACAGTGGACAGCAATAGGTGGAGTTGTTGTTGTTAAGTGCCGCTGACTCGGTTCTGACTCATAGTGACCCTTTAAAGGGTTTCCAAGGGGTGGCTAGTGGGTTTGAACCACCAACCTTGCGGTTCAGATCAACTTTGTGGTCCAGTGTTTATCCTACAGCACCACACCAGGATTCCAACAGCTGGAGTTGTTACTTGCCGTTGAGTCTGTTCCAACTCACAGCGACTCTGTATATAGGGTTTCCGAGGAGTGGCTGGTGAACTTGAACCACTGACCTTGCAGTTCAAAATGACTTTGTAGTCCATTGCATTAACCCATAGTGCCACCACACTTGAAATCAGTGGGGCAAAGCAATCACACTTGGGAAGCATTGTCAGCATCCACTGCCTGGGCTTCATCCCAAAGTCCGTGAGGTATATGAGATGGGACCCAATGATTCAGAGAATCTCTAAAAGTCGGAAATCTTACTTCACATGTTAGACTGAATACTCTAATTGACTAATAACAAAACTGGAACCCAAACACAAGTGTTAATGAGCATGGACTTAACCCAAAAGCTGAGGGGAGGAGAGGAAAAGCAAGGGGCCCAAATGGCCCACAAGCCTCCTGTCCTATGTGATGAGTTGGAAATCGTGTAATTCCGACAAGGTTCCATGGTATTAGTAAGAAACAAGCAGGTAAGATCTCTTGCTCTCTACCCTGCCAGGCCTAGAAGTAATTCAGATCCGATTAGAGATGCTTGTTCAATATTCAAAGTGTAAAACACAGAGGTGTCTGAAGCAGCACTTTGAAAAGTTAATTAAATGCCAGGTTTCTTTTTAAGAGCTACTCCATCACTTGCTGATTGCTTTGGCCATTTTGCAGAATGAAGCTTTAACTCGGGACAAAGAGAATAAATAGCCTCCCTCACCTTCCACCTGCTGGGGGCAGGGTCACAGACTAAGGGCACACGCACGTCCTCCTTTACAACGCGTGATGTGCCCTACCTGGTCAGTGGCTTGGACAGAGGGGACATCACAGTCATCTCTGCGAGGTTCTTTTCAAATTGCTAATGAAGCCACTTCCTTCAGATACAGAGTTTTCAGGCAGAGGACTTTCAGGTTAAGGGGCTTGTTGAGAGTTCAGTCCTTCAGCTCAACATTCAACCAGTCCCTCCTCATTTTCCCGGAAGCTGCTCTCTGGCCTATGCTTGGTTTCTCCTTGGCTCCATGTACACTCCGT